TCAGCCGTTTTCATCGCACTTTTGGATGCAGCCCTTTCCATAATTTACCATAAACTTTTTTCTACGATTCTTATCTATCATTATCCAACGAACTTCTTCAGCTCAACCTGCTATCGATCTGGAGATTTTTCTACGAATCGTTTTTTCTCCCTTGAAACCCGCTTTAACTGATCTGATCCAGCGATGATCGGTTCTTGTTGCAACGTGTCCTGCTTATTGCCACTTCAGTCTGTTCACTCGGACAATGACGTCGCATTCTCCTCGATTTGTTTTTAATGTTTTGTTCATTTTTATCATTTCATATTAATCCCAACGATAGTATTTCTTACGCGCTGTCACTAAGCGCCATCAACATGCTTGCTCAGCGGGAGATTGTTAATGAGCGCATTATCACCAAACCACGCTTAACATCGTTATGGTTATACTCCTGCTCCTAGATGTCGATGATGCTGTTTAAATGGATCACTGTTCATAGTACTTCGGTGCTTGCGTTTCTGTACTGTCTGATGTTCCGCGAGAGCATTCTGCAATATTATTGACGACGAACAAGTCGCTGAAACGATCCGACATGCATCGATGTAATGCATTTGCTAAGATGCAATATAAACGTGTTCATTTGAACGTCAGTTACGAAGACAGCGATTCATGACGTAATGAAACCAGGTTTACTTCAGTAGCTCCTTACATACTTTAAGTCTTCCCACCACAGATCTTTTAAAGGAAAACAAACTTTGATATGCACCCTGCTGATGAACTGAAAATTAGACTATGAAAGCGAAGGATTCGTCGTCAAGAGACATATCTTCTCTAACATTCAGTTGATTCATGCTTTGCATCAGCATGGACAGAAGAGCTGGAACATTCTTTTCCTGCGGGAGTATAAGTGTGTAAGATTTTGCTGACCAATTTTGCACCCCTTCACATCCATTCCCGCGTTTCTCGAAAATGAAGTAATTCTAAGTTAAGAACCGCTATATTAGGGCAATGACGAAGATATAAGGTCCCATAGACCGCTACATGCAGAGGGATGGTGTGATCTTGCTCTGCAAATCTAAAGTAGCGATCTGTTATTTCTACCGGCGGTATTGTTAGTGTTCTTACTGATTCAAAATGAAACTATCTTACTCTTGATCTCACACTGACTAGTCATCTACAGAAGGGGTCCTTTTTGCAAGAGACGCTTACACGCTATCTTTTCTCGTTCCTTAGCCTCATTGGCCGATTCCTGGTTTAGTCGAGAATGAACTCTGCCAAATACTTCACCTGCGGTGACGCTAGCTCAGTCAGTAGATAAAGGATTCGAATCTTTCGAATTAGGGTTGATGAGTACGATGATGTCAGAAGAAGGCCGTAACTGCGCTCTACAATGACTATCTAGCTTACCAGTAAATTGAATCATTCCTGATTGTTGAATCCAGACGGATATAAGCGCCGCATCATAATATTTCGCGCAAGAACTGTTCCACAGGTTGCGTCAACATTGAAGTATAAGGAAGATCGGCATCCCAGCAGTTGCAGACTTTCCCTTCCACTGTGTCGTTTGGTTTAATAGCATTTCTGAAGTTAAACTAGATTAAGTTGGTTAGTTATTTAAGCCTGATATTTTTAGAAAGTGGATATCTACAGTCTTGGCATAATATTTTTCGAAATGTTTTATCCGATGGCGACGGCGATGGAAAGGGTACTGACGTTGTGCAATTTGAGGAAAGAAAATATCGAGATGCCCGAAAGCTTTCGCACGAGTGTTGCCAAAAAACGGCACGTCAAACTACTGAAAATGATGCTCAACCACAACCCGGTGGAAAGACCTAGCTCTGAGCAGCTGCTGAAATCGAATTACTTGCCTCCGGCTGAGATCAAGCAAACTGAATTTGAGAAGAACATCAATGCGGCGATGGCTGACTCGCAGAGTCGCCAGTATAAGTACATCGTGTGTTCGGCTGTCGAGCAGCAGCCAAGTACGGTACAGGACTATCTGTACGACGTCGATCTGTACAAGGTGGGTGACTGTTTGTGCTTCTTACGACGGTGATGGTGATGATTGATTAATTTAGGCGCCGTTTCAAGCCGATTTGTGTGTTTTGAGGCAAAACGTTGAGCGCGTCTTCGTCGACCTCTTCTGCGCGCACGGTGCCATGCGCATCGACACTAGTTTACTGATGCCGAAGAAACGTCGATTCGTGGACAGGGCTGGCAATCGGGTGCTGTTGATGGCACGCAGCGGCATCGTGGTACATCTACCATTCGCCTTGCGCGTACCGTTCGCGCGATTCGTCGCCAAGAACCACATCACTCACGTGAAACGTTTTTCGATCGCCAAGGTTTTCAAGGAACGCAAGACGGTTGACACTCATCCGCGCGAGTACGTGGAGTGCGCGTTTGACATCGTTACGAGTTCGACTAATTGTGCGACGGCCGTCGCCGAGCTGTTGTCCGTGCTGTCGGACATCGTCGATCGTTTTTCCGGACTGAAAGCCATGAACTTTTGCGTCAAGATCAACCACACAGGCTTATTGAAGGTCAGCGAGACAAATTATTTCCGATTTTGCGGTTGTCTAGTTTTATTATACCTTTGGGCTGATTTAGTCATTTATCATTCATTTGATCTGTTGCTTGGCAGTGCAGTGTTTAGGTATTGTGAGCTGCATCAGATCTGCGCGTATCGAATTTCCAAAATAAGCTGATCATTCTGGAACTTCTTTCAGACTGCTTTTAAAGCAGAATTGTATCAATCATAAATTATCAGCCACGGTGTCCGGGACACATTAATGGCTAGTCAGTGCAAAAACAGCGTAGAGATAAAAACAAAGTCACAACTGACCGTACACGCCGACTTACGCTATTAGTTCGATTCTTCTTGCTGAATTTCTTCTGATTTCCCCGTACTTCTTGGGTTAATCTGCTCCAGGACTATTTTGCTTTATCTCATAGATCTTCAGTTTTAGTACTTTCTGTTTGGAGCATTATTGCAAACCATCCACGTAGGATGCTATTGCTGCCTTACTTATTAACTTCTTCACAGAGTATCTATTCATAAGTAGTGTATTTATACACCCTGCATCAGCATTAGAATATAGCAAAATACCATGTCGATATTATTTGAATTCCCTACTCGCGGCGATTGGCACTATATGAAGAAAGTTTCACGTCGCGCTGGGATTCGAACTCCGAAGCTCTCAGGCTAAACTATTATCCAGCGAGTCATAGTTTTTCACCATGTGCAAACTTCGGCTATACGCGATATTTACGCTACTATTTAAATGTTAGTTCTGATGCGTATTTTCTAGCATGCAGAGTTTACAAAGTTGCATGCAACAATCTTTAGCGAAATACAAGTACTATCATATTTCAGCAACTGCGTATTCGATCGACCGTTGTTGGAGGCGTTTTCATCATGATTGATGGTGGGTGCCTGTCATCTGTTCCATTGCCAGTTTGATGTTCTTGAGCAACTGCTGCTTACTATCTAATCTAAGTTCTCATATGCTAGCAGTTATATTGCAGCATAAATCGTGCGAGGTCATTACTTAGGGCTATAGGAGATTGATGACGGTCTGAAGTGACTCGATCCCTATGTCTTCGCTGCCCATGGCTTACGTGAGTGCGCGTAATTTTTTGTTCGCGCGTTTTTCACATGCCCTATGTTCAACAAAACTTTTAGGTGATTACACCGCACATAAAATTTGTTATATACATTCTCGAACGTTACAGATTATAATCGATCTGCTTTTAGGGCGCGAAATACTAGAGATACGATGTTACAGTATTTCTTTGTATATTTGACACAGACTTCATATGGAGGTTTAGCCTTTATAGTGGAAGTTGTTTGATAGTGCGAACTTAGTTGCACACTGATGTCTATTTGTGCATTTCTTTCATTGTAAGAAATTCATTCACCAGCGTTTCTTTTATCTTCCGGATTAGAAAGTTTCGTCCTCGGTATATTCCCTTCATGTAGACTCATAATAGAGAGTGCTGTTCTGGTACTGCATATTACACGGCCGCCGAATTCTTTTTTGCAGTCCCGCATCACCACCTGTTGATCTTTCGTTTTCCTTCGCCCTCTACCTTTCTGTTTGACCATTCTGAAGTAGATGGTATTGCGCCATCTAGTCAAGTTACTGAAATCTTGTTTCTTCCTCTCTTCTGTGGTGTTGCCTGTATCTCATATGTAATTGAGACTGCACTCACACCTTTGGGTGTAGATCCAGCTTCACTGCTGGAATTTAGCCTCGGAATTTTCGATGTGCATCAGCTGGCTCCGTAATGTTATTTGGGATCTGAATACTAGCCGTACTTTGCGCTCACTGGCGATCCTCTCCAGCTTCTCTGTTAGATTTGGTACTTATAGCACAACATTGTTTAAATTCTGTTTTTTCACTTTTAGTTCTTGCATTTGTACTCTTCCATTGCTGACTGCTGATTGCTTCTTCTATCAATCGTCTAGGGTACCGCTGTTTTTGAGAGCTCTTCGGATGTAGGCTGGTTCGTTTTGGATAAACACTGCCGTCCGAGCTCAACTCAAAGCGTCTGTTAACTCGACTGCTGGCGATTCTCTGGTTGTAATAACTGACCGCCAGTATGAACTGTCGTCGACCCTTGCGTTATGACGTCAGAGCCCTTCGATATCTCTTGTCATTGCCAGCCAACTGACTAGATAAATACGAGTTGTGATTATGGCAGAGCAACTTTCCCATTGCGATATCAGGACCTAAACTGACCCACAAGAAAATGTTAAGTACTTTTGACCACCATCGTTTCTTACGAGTTTTAGGGGTAGTTTGAATTGCTCCCGTGATCAAAGTCTTGCAGTGAAGCACTGAATCATGTGACATTAGTTATGATCACCGTAATGACGTTATCACATCTGCTATGTTGCCATCACACAAGATGGACCGCTCGTAAGATAGCTGTCATCCTCTAGCTGAGTGATCAGCTTTGAAAACAGATAGCCGATTAGCATACCTCTTCAATATGGCGTGATAACACAACGATTAACAGGTCAGTTTCGAGCCCTGTATTTCAGTCTTTGTCTTAGCCACAAATTCGTTTTAACAAGGCATGTACCAAACGTTGCTTCAGACCGGAGTTACTCAGTCTGTAAGGCGTCGGAGTCAGAACTGAGAGTTCTCGGATTCGAGTTTCAGTCAGAGGTCACTGATCGCTTTTCCTTCCAATATTGATAAATGAAATGGGCTTTCTTAGACGAGTTGCTGGCCTTAAAATGGGCTTTCTTAGACGAGTCGCTGGCCTTACGCGTCTCGACATGGTCCGGAATAGTGACATCCG